TGGAATCATTTATTTTTCTCCTTTCTACATACTTTATATCTGAGCTTTCAGTACTTATTCCGTCTTTCCTCATCTTCTATTTCACTCCTATGATCTTTTTCTGTTTGCTAAAGCTGGAGACCTTGGGCATCTCTTCCTCCCTCACACTCTATTTCCTAAGTCACATACTCAAATGATTGCTTGCTGTCTAAAAAGTAAAAGTCTAATATTAATAAAATACTAATATCAATAGAATACGTAGAGGTATTTAGGTCTTCCACCAACATAATTTTCCTGTTCCCCTTCAGGTTAACCATACCAACTCCCTCCCACTAAGCCATGCTCTTTTGTGTTCTCTGTGCTTCAGCTTTTGGATGTTTTCATTGCTCATTATGCCTTTACTTTTGCATGAAGTCTTATTTAGAAGCAAGCTCAAGCATCCTCTAATTCCTTTCACTTCCAGGGAATTCACTTCCTTCTACTTATGCAGAATCAGTAATGATCTCATTTATCTTCTTGGAGTGTAAGCAGGCATCTCATCTCTTTCTACATCTAACTTGTGCTTAATACAGTATGATTATTTTTAGTCTCTTTATAATGTATTCTTCTATCTGCTGTATATACAGTGTAAATTAAACATACAGTGGGTACTAGTGAGATTTGTGTGGATAAACTGAAAATCCTCTGACTATACGATACAAAACACAGTCCTATGTCAGTGGGTATTTAATGGGAAAAGCAAACCACAGCAGATAACAGTGACAAAGTGGATGGGGGTGAAGAAGGTCCTATTATTGTTCAGGCAGAGGCCCAGACAGAGTGCAGTCACAGAAATGCATCAGTTTAAAGCAATATAGTAAATGAGAAACTTCCTTTAGATATGTACATAATGCCCGTTTTACCCCATTATCTTTTTTTTCTCATTCTTTGGTTTTGCCTTTCTATACCAGCAGTTCTTTGACTCCTGTAAGTGTTCCGTGTGTCTAATCTTTAAGACATCTTTAATATGTATTAAAGTATGAATGTGCAAATGAAACCATCTTATTTTATGGAGGCTAAATAAGTAGACTAAAAACTTTAAACTTTAGGAAATACAAATTGGTAATTTCAAAGATGAACATGTCCTCTTCCGATTAGAGCAAGTGACTTCACCTCAGATACAGAATATTTTATGATCATGAAAATTATAGCCTGGCCTCTAATTATAATTAGTGTTGTAAGCCAGCTACTTTGAAGACTGAGGAAGGAAAACCACAAACTCCAGACTGGCATGCACTGGGATGTTAGTTCAAAGGCCAGTTTGGCCAAATTATTTACATGTTGTTTCAAAATAACATAAAATAAAAAACAGTGAAGAGAAATAGTTAAGAAGTGCATGTGAAGGTCCCTGAGTTCAATGTCCAGTAGGGAAGAAAAAAAAAAAGGAAGGAAGGAAAGATGAGAGACAGTGTGTTAGATAACTTGAAGTAAAGACCTATCATTACACAAGCAGATGTCAATTTTATTGTGTTTGTGAAGTATCTAGTATGCAATAATTGCTCTTTCAGTTTTACTAACTATTGGTGTTGATGAATAGAAAGGCTTTGTTTTGTCTAACCTGTTTTTTTTTTCCAGGTGCTTGCAGCTGGGTGAAGTTAGAAACTGTGTTCTAGTGACAAGGGCCCCAGACATAGAAGTGGAAGACCTGTGCCACTAACTAATTTTGCTACCTTGCATTGAAAAAGACAAGGCTTATTCTGTTTAAAATTTAGATTTCTTATTATGTAGTAGGGTTGTATTCTCAACCTGCAGGAGTTGTATACTAAATAGATGAATAATGACTGTGGAAACATTTTCCTTATGAAAGTAAGGTACTATTAAATGTATGTAAGAATGAAAAAATAAGTTTAAAAAGGTTTTCTCAGCTTCACTTTCATTCCTTTCTGTTCTCTTTGCTATTGTCTGTCAATTTCCACACACTTCAACTTTAATTTACTTCAATAGATGAAAATTGGTCAAATGAACATTTTCCCACTGATGTAATTTATATATAGTACAGCATACTTAAACCAAACATTTACAACTCAGTACAACTGGGCAGTAAAAGGAAATAACATTTAGAAAGACACCAGTGTCTTTTTATGAGCTTTCACCTCCATAAAGTAATCAAAACTATCATAGAATGAGAAAATATGAAAACTAACATCATTATACAGATACTAGTAACTGTGTGATGAGAGAAAAAAAAGAAAAAAAAACCTTGCCATATTGCATTGTTAAAAACTTATTCCATGACTTTCAGGATTCTGTACTCACAACAACTAATTATGTGCGCATTTAAAAATAAACTAACCAGAAAATGATGTGTATTGCTTAGCTTTGCCTCAAAGAAGGTACAAAATGTACCATGTTTGGGTAATGTATTCATTCCTGCCTTTTCCTATCAATGAAAATTATTAATATCCAATCATCAGTACTTATTTTTGTTGCTTTTTATTTTGTATAAAATATTTTATTTAGGTCACATATCATTATTTACTTATTTTCAGATGGTCCATTTAGACATCCAAAAAAAAGATAAATAAATTACATTTCTTTATCACAATCGCTTGAAAATCTCTTGGGCCCCTCAGTGTAAATAGGCCCCTTCAAGTGACGTTTATAATCTTTAAGTTTGGGAAATGAGACTGTATCATCACAGAGTTCAGAGAATATTTGTTTAGACAATAAAGATAAGAGAGTAGCATGGAGCCTCCTCATGAAAACTGTTTTACTCTCCCTTATCAGAGCATAGCCCATCTAAAAACATATTGCTTAATTTTCTGTTAACCGAGTGATATCATTGAAACAGGAAGCCTTTCTCAACACTTCTTTTAGCTCTGTTGTGGTCGAATGATGAAATATGTCTTGGAGAATACCAATAAATTGTATGATACAGATCTCAATAGCCTGGAACAACTTGCTAAATCTAATTGAAGTGAATTTTAGAGAGACAGATGCAAAGTCAGCATTTAAAACAGAAAAGTGTAAAGTACATGGAGTGGCACATAGGCTTTACTGTAGAGCACGTTTGCTTTTTGTTTTGTTTTTCAATAGTGCTTGTTAAAAAATGAAAAGCTACACAAAACTTAAAAGCTCTGTGAAGTTACTATTATGTTCTTTTTAGATCAACCACACTTTACACTTGTTAATAATACATATTATTATTATTATTAACACTTAAGCCCTGCATATAATATACTTTGAGAAGAGAAATAGCAACAGGAGAAAAAAATACAGTGAATAATTATAACCATCAGCCTCAGGAGAGTGTCGTGATTTGACTGAACACGGCCTCACAGATCTGGGAGAAACACTATTTGGAATGATTAGGACATGTGGCCTTGGTGGAGGAGGTGTGATCTTGGAGGGAATGTGTCATTGAAGGTATATTTGGTGGTTTCAAATGCCAAGCCAGCCTCAGTCTCTCTCTTCCTTCCTTCTGCCTGTTAATCCAGATGTAGAACTCTCAGCTCATTGTCCAACACCATGTCTGTCTGTGTGCAATCTTGTTTCCTATATAATGATAATGGACTGAAACTCTGAACCTGTAAACCAGCTCCCAATTAAATGTTTTCCTTTATAAGAGTTGACATTGTCGTGGTGACTCTTCACAGCAATAAAAATCTTAGCTGAGGCAGGCAACAAAGTAATTATTATCTAGGTAAGAAAACTATATTTGTCATTCTGAGAAAATAGGCATGAGATGATGTGGACAGTGTAACAAAATAAGATGAACCAATTTATAGTTGGGGGAATACTGGAGTATAATGCCTACTGACATGTGCTTGGCTACTGGTATCATGTTTCTAATAGGCTGATTTGATAAAAAAAATAATGTAACTCCAAGTTCTTGATCTACTGAAGAGGACTGAAATAAAAACACATCAAGTAATATTCAGACACCCACAGTGTAGTATGTGAGATGGTCAGCATCACAGATTGTTTATTGTTTTGGCAGCAAAACTCATATTCTCTGGAAGATCGGCGAGCAATCTTAACTGTGAAAGAATCTATCAAGGTTCGTGAAATGAATATTGCTGTAGTTGGAGTATGAACAACCCTTTAAATTTCATGTATTAAAGCCTTTGTTACTAGCTGGTGAAGCTTGTAAAAAGCAGTTGGATGTTGACTTCATAGATGCATTAATCTACTGAATTCATAGAGAGCAGACTATTAGAATGTGGGGTCTAGTTAAAGGAAATAAATCCCTCGATGCATGCCTCAGGATGTTGTACTTTGGTTCCTTTTTTGTTGCCTGTCTCCTGTATGTCACAAAGTTGGCAGCTTTGTTCTTTCCTGCCATTTCTCAAAAGCAAATGTTCTCATGATGAACAGTACAGCCGTCTGTGTAGTGAAACATTCAAAAACCATGAGCATCTTCTTTTAAACTGTTTCTTGTAAATATTTTTGTGTAATCACAGATCATGATTGGCAAGTATATTATTATAAGTGAGAATATTAAGCTCCTGTATACTGTAATTATTTGTCATTCATGTTGGTTTAATAAAACTTTGCTTGACCAGTAGCCAGGCAAGTATAGATAGGGTAACCAGACTAGGAGAATTCTGGGAAGAGGAAAGGCATAGCAGGCAGTCACCAGTCAGAAACTGAGAAAGCAAAAATGAGAATGCCTCACTGAGAAAAGATACGAAACCACATGGCTATATATAGACAAGAATTACAGGTTAATTTAATTTGTCAGAGGTAGTTTAGAATAATCTTGAGCTAATAGGCCAAACAGATTATAATTAATATAAGCCTCTGTTTGTTTCTTTGTGACCGAATAGCTGTGGGACTACCAGGCAGGACCGAAACTTCCATTTCCATTAATGCTTAAGCATCTGCTATGACTCCTGGTGTGTGTGTATGTGTGTGTGTTTAATCAATAGAATTTAATAATAAAGATTGTTGTTTTAAATTAGTTAATTATTTGCACATCATATTTTCTGATAATGTGTCAAAAATTTCATATATGTAGTGGGATGGTATTTCTTACTTACCTATAAAGAGCAGACAGTGGCCTCTTGTTTCCAGGCTTTGGTCTATAAGGTTTGGGTTCCCCTGCCATGTTAATATCTGAAAATAAAAAATAGCATTTTTTTTTAAATAACAATGATAAACAATTTGGAAACATTATACCTTAGAGCGTTTATTTTTTTCTATTTACTTATGGAAATTCTTTTACAATTCTAATTTATTAAATAATTTATACTGTGTGTCTATGTGTGACATTTTACATAAGGTGCTTGTACTTGTTAGTGTACCTGTAAGAACACATGCAAGAATGAAGCTGTGAACATACATGGAAACTATGGGTCCACATCTGTTATTTTCTTGATTTCAACTTTACTTTTTTGAGTTAGGGTCTCTTACTGAACATAAAGCTCATCAAGCAGGTAATGTTTTCTTTCTAATTAGCTTCATTGAACCCTTCACAACAAAGCTGGAATTATGGGAACAATCCTTTATCCTCAGGCCTTTCATGTGGGTTTTCAGGAATTAAACTCAGATTTTCATGTTTGGCAGATAGTTTACCAGTTAAGAAATTTCTTCATTCCTTCTTACACAAATCTTATATGCTATTCTCTCTAAAATGTATGAAACATCTTCTTTACATGAAATAGTGTAGGAATTGTCACATACAAAAAACAATTAGACCCCTGATTGTCTGGATTTTATACCCTACTAGGAAAATGGAGATACTAAGAAGAAATTAAAGCATAAAAAATATATAACCAATTTGAATTTGATGTTTTATGAAAAAAGTGTTAAACAATGAGAGAAGAATCAAGACATGTAATAAAAACAAATATGATGATACCGTTTCTGATTTTTAAATTATTTGAGAAATATCTACAGTCATAAATATTTATATGGGTTATAGCTTTTATCCTTAAATGAGGTATTAATTTTCAACATCATGTTATCACAATGCTTATCATATTTACTGAGGAAGACATAAAAAGATAACATTTATTTTGCAGCATAAATTGAATGATACATATTTCCAAGTTGGTCACATCTTAACATCAGTAACTGAAAATGCAACGAAGTGTCTAAGATTGACAAGAGGCCAGAAAATGTGATAGTTCTTGCATACAATTGCTAATCTTGTGCTTAGAAAAAATAGTAAGGTTTGAAGAAATTAGAAAATTGGACTTTAAAGAGAATCCTCTTTAGCTTGGGATGTCCTCAAATTCATGGTATTCCTCACTCAAGTTCAAGTGTTTGCTATAATTCGTCAACATAATAAGTCTATTTTAATCAATAGTATTATAATAATTAGGTACTTAAAAGACTAATTATAGAGCTGAATTCCTACTTTCCATTATTAAAAAAATAATATTTAAATACAAAAGGTAAATATGTAAAATTAAATGGTAAAAGAATGAGAATTCATTTATGAGCTCAAAATATGGAATGACATCTTAAACAGAAATAAAATAACAGTTATTAAAATATAACATTTATGAATTACATTACATTAAATTAGGATTTTTTCTTATCAATAGCCACATAAAGACCACACAAAGAGCAAAAAGCTATTGACAAAGAATTTGTTTCTTGAGTATGTGAATATGTCATCTTTGTCACAGGAATATGAGTCAAAACATCAAAAATAAATTTGACAAAAACAACTAGTGACTTAACTTTATAGAAAAAGAATGTGATAAATAAAAAAATAAGAGTTTCTTATTTTCACCAGTAATTGGAAATAATTTAATATAAGTCACTGAGTTCACAATTTACAGGCTGATAACATCAGGAATTGACCAAGTTTCTGAGCAAGTGCAATGCATATACAATTTAAGTATTGGCATAAATTAGTGAAGCTACTTTAAAAATAATTTTGTTGTTTTAAATAACAATAGTGCTTGAAACTGAGCCAACAGTTATGGAAGCAGAGGCAGAGATCCACAGCCAGGTACTGAGACATGCTACTGGGAGTCCTGTTCAAGAGAGTGAGAACCTACATGGGACAATTCCCTTTGCATGTGGCTGACAGTTGCATAGAATGGTCTGTTTTGGGGACTCATAGTAGTGGGATGATGACTTGCCCCTGATTCTGTGAGGGCTTTTGGGAAACTACTTCCCATATTGGGATGCCTTTCCCAGTCTCCATGCTGGGATAGGAGGTTGGTCCTGCCTCAATTTGATATGCTATGATTTGTTAACTCCCATGGAAGGCATGCTCCTTTCTGAAGGGAGACAGAAGAAGAGTGTATGGAGGGGAGGGGATACCTGGGAGGTGTGTGAATGGTACAGGAGGAGATGAAGAAGAGAAAATAAAATGTAAAATAAATAAAAAAAATAAAAATAGGTAAATAAACAGATAGCCAGACAAACAGATAAATAAAAAATAAAATTGCATCATGTGTGATGACTGTGCTCCTAAAGAAATAATTGCATATGTATAATATATGATTTGGGAAATAAATGTTCATTATGATATACTTACAGATAATAGGACAACTACTTTGTGCAAGTTTAGAAAAGACAGTTTACAATGGAAAACTAAAGAGGAGTGGAGAAAGATTTATAGCTACAGGTGACAACGTAGCCCTATTCATGAGCCCTGGAATCACAGCACTGAATAAAATTTATGTCACTGAAAAAACACTGAAAATATATATTTTATTTAAATTAATATGCAAATTGAAGGACTGCTTAGGAATAAACTGTAATAGGAATAATGGAAAGAAAATAAGAGGTTAACAGTTTACCGGATGGTAACCTCTAAAAGGGTAGGTTTCGGAGGACATGGGGAATTTTGCAATCAAATCATAGAGCACTGAATAAGAAAATATGGATTAAAATCCCAATGTTACACATATTACAAATATTTTATGTGTTTTATGGTGGGTAGTGAATCACTAAGAAGTTGAGAATAACAATGACAATATATGTGTTATTTCACACCTGGTTTAATATCATCAAGGTTTAGAAAGCAAATGGATTGAAGTGAGGTTGGGAGCTAATGTACAGGTTGTGGTGGGGACAAGAAAATTGGGGTAGGTTACTGAGTGTGAGAAAACCATTATAAATGTCAGTAAAAACTAAAAATTTGATTTAAACAGGCTATACCATATGATTTCTAGTTGAGAATAAAAAAAAGGTAATGAGTCTTATGTAATTTAAAATAAGGCACCATGAGTGTCGAGGCTGTTTATAACTGTCCCTACGTACTGTAGTTGGGGAAAAATTAAAAACTGTAACGATGGCATAGGCGGTTTGTTTGGGTAAATATAATTATATTCATTGTATATTTCTATATTTGATATCATGATTTATAAAAAATGAAAATATAAAATTATCTTCATAAGTAAGTAAACATATAACAAATCAGTCAGTGAAAAATATTGTCAGTATCCTTAAATTTTTTGTAATGTGTTGTTAGGGGTCCTAAAAATACACTTAAGAGTTTACAGCTTATTAAAACCAGAGGAAGCCTTTCATGACAAGCTGCTAAATCTGTATTTCCAACATTATTAGTTACCCATCAAAGGTATTAAGAATGCATATGAGGGCCTGGAGAGGTGGTTAAGTAGCTAAGAACATTTGTTGCTTTTGTAAAGGTTTCTGGTTTGATACCTAACACCCACATGGCAGCTCATAACCATTTGTAACTCCAATACCTGGGAATCTTTTCCCGCTTCCAATTTAGATGGACAGACAACATTCACACAATGTGCATACAATGTGCTTATAAAGCATTCATACGCATTAAAGAACAAAATAATAATTTTAAAAATTACAAAAGTTTATATGAATCCTTAGTTTCCTCTTAGCATACATCAGCCATTTAATGCAGAATTCTCCTTCAAATACATATAATATGTATTTATATATGCATATGTATGACTCTTCAGTGCTCGATTGACCCTCACCCAAAGTTTGAGTGCATTAAACAAACCAGCCTCTCAGTTAATCGTTGTGAAGATAAAACCTTGACAGAACACAAACTAACTAATCTTTACATTAAAGGACTTGTAGAGTTAGAAAATTTAATGATGTTATGAGAACAGCCAAGCTTTGTTAGAAGCCAAAGATCAAATTATGATGCATCAAAAGCCATTGATCTTATGGGGATCATAGAGAAGAGCAAATGGCATCTTGACATTGTTGCAGAGATCCCATGTTTGTTCTGGCAATGTGCAAACTACACACAAGCAGGGTACCTGGAAGGCTGATAAGACTTCAATTTGTATCCACTCTTATAAGCTAGGCACTTTGAAGTAAAACAATAAACACAGAAAAATATCAAAGGTCACTTCCTAGGATCCTGAGTTACAGATTCTTCTTACTAATATTTAGAAATTTTCTTAGTGTGTCTTAACTCTTAACAATGAGACACTTTCATCACAGAGTTCATGTTTTAGAGCCACACAGTTGAGTCACACATACCCTTTACAAAACTGAAAAAATAAAGCACAATAATGATTTCTGCAAGTTTATGAATTTATGTTTAAAAACATTTACTTTAAATATATTTTAGAAAGGACTGTGCTTAATAACTATTGGGTAATTGTTTTGGAATAGCCTGCAATTCTCACTTCAGCTTCTGGTCATTAAGTATAAGTACATATATTATTGGATGGCAGAGCCTGATTTTCTAGCTATTACAGTCATATTCTGCTGAAAAGTCCTGGTAAAATCAGGTGACCTTTATGTGTGTGTGTATGTGCACATGTGTGTGCGTGCATGTGTATGTCTGTGTGTGTGCTGATGAGGCCTCACTGGGTGCACTGCACATACTCTAGCAGATATCCTCTCCCTACATCATGCTCCAGAGAGAGGAAGCAGAAGGGAACTTCAGCTTTGCTTCTTCTTAGAGAATGGGGTAAGAGCGTTGCTCCCTACCTGGAAATGGGGTGTTATTGAATTTTGTAATAAGATGAATCACTATAAGCATTTACTAACTGCCCAGCAGAACAGATGTGTCATATTTTAATGTAATTTTTATTTTATTATTGGTTTTATTAGTTCAAATTTAACATGAGGAAACAGATGAAGTGAAGTTGAAGCTATATTCCAAAACTTTATTTATTAAACCTCAAACTCAACTTCAAAATCTC